AATATATATGTGTGTGTGTATAATTATTTAGTTTTTAACCAAAGCATATTTGTGCTATTTTGTGCTTAAATATATACTATTTAATTATTCGAATGATTAATTACATAATTTTTCGTACTACTAACAATAAGTATCATATAACATTTGCTTTTTTTTAAATAAGTCCCATTTTCTAAAAAATTACAAACAAATATTGTGTGCTTTAAATACATTTTTTTTTCTCTCTTAAGTAGTATAAGCGATGCATTTCAATTTCAAAAATGATTTCTCGGCTTTGAGATGTTAATGCGACGACCGAAGCGCGACGTGTTGAGCTTGATTATAGCCGCTCACAAAGGATAAGTGATCAAACGACGCCGTCTCTTTCTCTTAGAGTAACTAAAATAGAAAAATCTTTACCGGGGAAAAAGTAATCCGAGGGCAACATCGGCTGCGGCGACGGCGGTGGAGGTGCGAGGGTCGCAAGGATTGCTCGCGTCATATCCGATTGAAGCATCGGCTCGATTTTACTTTCCATCCCCAAAGACGAGCCATTTCCGGAAGTAGGTGGGAACACCACAGTTTTCGTATCCTGACCGGCGATTAAAACCGCGAGCGTGCTGAGTATCGGAAATATTTTCATTCTCTAAGGGAAAACGGCACTTCTTTTTACCAACACAAGACAAAGACTTATATGACTCGTCGGATTTTTAATCGGGTTTTTATTCAAGTTTCTCCTAGTAGAAGACCGAACGACTCGGCTATGACGTATTACTGACAATAAATGGACGAGATGTCGTGAATCTAAATCGTCCAAACCGTCAGTCGCGAGAGAATTCTCTTCTTCGTGATGCATCGAATTTGACACAGTCGAGACAACGAAAAAAATATGAATAATTTCGGGAACGACCGAGGTGATTATTCGGCCCGTTGAACTGTCTGATGAGTTTACGGACCGCGACAACTACAATGAGTTAATACTATACTTTATTACATTGGGGAAGTTTTTTTTTTCTAGAAATTGTGCTTCCTTTCTTGTCGAAGAAATAACTCAATTGTGTGCGGATTTTAATGTTCTTGAGCCATCTAGAGCTCAAGAACGGATAGTAAAACCTTTCAGGAAACAAGACTTTTTTTACTACCTTCAGCAGGGGATATAATGAAATGTTTAATTACACAAGTAAAAATTAATCTTTTATTGTACGCAATATATACTTTTGAAAGATATCGACTAATACATTATTGAATAAAATTATTTTCTAAGGCCTTGTTATAGATCTTAAAGCTGCTATTTATTTATAAATTCGTTTGAATCGTTTGACTCGAGTGATGCGTCCATTACTGAAATCTCTCGAGGTACTTTCACTGAACATTCACAATTTTCTGCAATTTCTACTTGACAATTTTGAGAAACTTAAATACCGATCGACAACAATTTGTCGAACGATTATAGAAGATTTTCTAGAAACGCCAAAGAAAAAGTATTTTGACCTTATTGTAGAACATTTGATGGAACTTTCGTACCAATTTACTATTGAATTCTTAAGACTCGCGCTGCGGTCTGAATTAAAATGCGTGGAAAAGAGAATGGAAACTGTGTTCCGCGCAAAGATATTCCAGCGAAGCTGGAGAAGCGAGACGGCACGATCGAGGGGTAGATCGGTTGGTTAACCTAGCTGCTGAATGCAAGGGGTTGCTATGGCGATGGAACGACGAGTGGGGAAAAGGGAGCTTTGAGGGTTTGTCTGTCTGCAACCCTTCTAAAGGGGATGATGTTCTTCGTGTGCTGTCTGTAGCTCCTATCCACGTCATCACTTGTCAGATGTAACGTCGCAGCTTCGTCAACTTTAAGCGTCCATGAAAGCATCTTTTTATAATATGTTCTTTTATCTATAGTAAATACTAAAGTAATAACTAATTGCTGTTTACTCTATGTATTATATTATTATAAATAATTTATGGTACAACATTTAATTATAATATGTTAACAGTAAAATGATATTTCTTCTTTCTAGAAAGATGATCAAGAAAAAGATTATTTCATTTGAATATGTTTTTATCTCTTTATAATATTTCTCTTTTCTATTTTAATGAGGAAAAACTTCTTTGTAAGAATATTTTTGCAAGTATTGCTGAGAAAATTGCATATGTCGCGCGAATTTAGTATCGAAGACAAAAATGCTTTGCAAACGAATATCTAAAACAGGCAGAACTTCCATTATCTTTCACAGCTCAGTTGACTCTCTAGGGCTGATAATCCAAAAGGAAACACTTCACGCTTTGAGTGTCTCACCACCCACTTATACTTCTCATTATCGTGACACTACGCAAACATAGTACTTTGTTCATTATTCATACCTGCAAAGATCTCCATCTAGTTACTATCTTATATAAGAAGAAGCTTTTTTTCAAGCTTAGAAAATAAAAAATAATATGCAGGCTGTACATATATATAATTTACAATATTCTTAAAAGATTAAAAAACCTACGATCGCAATTTTCAAGAATAAAAGACAGAGATTTATTTTACAGAAACAAAATTATTCAAAATTCAATTTACATTTATCAATATATTTTATAATTATAATTATAATTA